TTTGTCAACCAAATTCCTTTTATTTTCTCATTTATTATATTTTTTATAATCAACTGTATATATATATGTGGTAGCTTATCCTATATCACTAGTAAAGTTTCTTTACTAAGGCCATGATCAGTGCAATCGTTTTGATGCACAATTAAAGGGAGAAATGGTACCTATATATGTAATAACGAAGAAATAAATTTATATTCCAAATATATTGATTTTAATTAAACTTCGTATGCAATTGGGTTCTGTATGCAACTTTCTTCAACCTTTATAAAAATGTGGAATCGTGGCGTTTATGTACTTTAAACTTCACTTCTAATAATTAAGTTTCAAAATAAAGTCATTTTACTTATATTTTTATTGCTTCTTTTTTGCTTATATATAAAAATAGTCTAACATTCCTTAAATTTCATAATTATTTAGCAATCAAATTTGATTGTGGAATGTAAATTGGATTTAGCTTTTCTTCTTTGACATGGCTAATGATATGGTAATTTGTTGAAGTATCAAACAACTTATTTATTTATTTAAGCTAAAAGATTATCATCCTTGGACGTTTACTTTATTATCTAAAAAAACAACTTATTTACATATAACTACTATGATATATTTGAACTTCAAAAAAATATATGCAATTTTTTTATAAATCTGTACGTAGAAAGTCGTATCATACTATTCCCTTTTTACTCTTGTTACTCATTCAAATATCTGGAAATATCTGGAAAGACCTTAACTAAAAGTATTCATAGCTATTTCTCACTTCAAACCTTTAAGACAAGAGAGCATCAGGATATTTTGCAAAATCTAAAGACTTGCCAATATCCAATATTGTTTATTTTAAGACATTTCTACAACCCTTCTGAGATTAGGAACACCCAATTTACAAATCAACATGCAGTATTCCCTATTTACCAATCTCTATTACAAAATAGCCCGGCATCTACAAATTAAATAACCAAAAAAATAATCCTATTCCTGGAATTGAGACATTTCCTGATTGTACAACTAAAAGTTATTGATGGCTTGCGCCATCTGTCGGAATAAATATCAACTAATCATTGATAATCAATTATATCAGAATTAACCAAGTACCCATTCTTAATTAATCAATTAGATGGCGCAAACCATCATCAACTTTTAGTTTCATGAACAGTAGATGCCTTTTTCTTACTTTATCCATCTGATCCCATTAAAATTTCACTTTTGTAATATTTTTTCTCATTATCCCTTGAAGCCTGATGTTTTTAGATTAATATTGATACTAGGGATTATTTTAATGAAAATAAATACTATTTTAAGAGGTATTTTATATGATATACAGTTTAACCTGTCTATAGCCCTCCCTCTTGGGACTCACCGATATAGGATGCTATAGAGAGGGGGTGCCATAGACAGGTCACTTTTAATGTAAATCGCATCGTACTATGTGTTTAAAATCGGGTGCTATTTAGAGGGGGCGCTATAGACAGGTTTAACTGTATTTATAATTTATCGCAATATACCCTATAATTTTATTTCTATTATCAATTGGATTAGGATTTCTAATTAACACTGGCTGTTTAATATGGAAACCTGAATAATTAAGATATTCAAATAAAAATAACTCAAGCTGAATAGAGAAGACTATTATAATTTTTTAAATTGAAATTAAACTTTTTATTAGGTACAAAATATATACTAAATTTGAATATTTTTAACTTTGTAAGCATCAAAAAGATAACCACTAAGTTTCATGTTAATAATACATAATGTACAGACATGCATGTATAAGGTGATTGATTAATGAATACAAAGTCGTGAAACTGAGGATGATGAAATAGCTTCAGATAAAAAATAGAAATCCACGTTCACACAGAGCGTACAGATTTGCCTGGATATAAAAACATGTTGAATATAAGAAAACCTTTTGTGTTCCAGAGATTTACAGCGAGGTTTTACTGTGTGTTTTTTTAATACTTGGTGGGCACAGGATAATGTACCTCACTTACCTAACTTTAACAAACATTTCTGTTCACCTGTTTCAGTTGTCTCTCTTCACCTGACAACAAAGAATATTTAGTTGAGATCTGGAAAATTCATTTCTTTGAAAATCCTGAGAGCGCTGAGGTAGTCTATAGAATCCTGGCTGGTTTCACCAACTTCTGGTTTGACAGGTTCTTCAGCCGAGCAAGAGATCCGTCCATCTAACATGGCGATATACCACTCTTCTATGTAGGAACTGATGGAAACTGAAGATTTTCTCTGTAACTACACTTTCGCTTTTCCTTTTTTGTAACCACCAATTTATTCACATATTAATAGAAATTACAAAAAAAAAAAAAAAGATTATCTACAAAGGGAGTTTATATCTTATATACCGCGTGAAAACCAAGTTATAAAGAAGGGACTCGGTGACCTAAGGAGGGAGCTTAAAGAAAGACATTTACCTAAATTCTACTGGTAAACTCCGTATAAATAGTATAAACGCACAACGAATTTACATTTATATGTTGTATATAATGGCTCAAGCGCGCTTATACCCTGTTAGTGTAGTCATACTAGCCACGCCTGTGGAAGAACCGAAAGGTTCGAAAGCTAGCAAAAGTATAATAAAAGAGGCTCCTCCGCAAAACTTTGGATTCGTTGTGCATTTACCTAAATGTTAACTAGACACGGTGAGGGCTCCACGTGATATCTAGATACATAACATAGAGGGGGTTAGAGGTAGACTATACTATCTCACACCGTCATGTATTGCTTACACCCCTGAACCCAACGTCCCAATTCCGACAACTCGATGAACTCGTTGAGCTCACTATTGGACAACAATGAGAAATTGAGCGAACTAGAGACCGAAGACAGAACTGCTGACACTGCCAACGCTGAAAGCCAGACTTTGCATCACACGCGAGGCCTCCCATTGGAGTTTTGCGCCAGAACCAGCAGACTAGTAATCAGTACCTAGTCCTGGGTCTGTGGAGCGAGCCAAGCTGCTGGAGGAGAAGTTGAGTACCAATCCACGTTATGTGATACAGAGTTAAAATAGTGGGTCCTCCCGCCCAACGTGGAATGGTAAATGATCACAGCCCCTGCTATGATCACCACAGGAGTGTAAGCGCTAAAACCCGCCCCGCTGTCAATAGCTACTGTCTAACACTAGCTAGATCCTGCAACAACGTCGTTAGTAGAGCTGGAACACAGGGAAGTCACGCTCTCCATCTGGAACATCTGTTACACACAGCAACCTAGAATTCAGACTTTATGGTCAACAGATTGCTATTGTCACCGAGTCCCTTTTTTATCCTTGGCATTCACGCGGTTTGGAGTTTTATATTATTTTCTTAAGATAACATTTGATTAGTGGTAATTGATTATAGAGAAGAGTTAAAATATTTTAACCTTCAATTAAACCCCATTCCTTCAAGTCAAAGGTAGTATCATAAATATAAAAAGACGTCGAAAGGTTTCAAGCAACATAAGTTGTAAGTCACTCATACAATTTCAGGTTGTGAGAAACTAGAGATCTTTTCCATGATTTTCTACGCCATCTTATATCTTTGGATCTACAATCAAACTCTCTGACGTGAAGTTCTTTAACAAATATATATAGATTAAATGATTAAAGGTTTTGGAATATATATATGTTGTAGTGTGTTTTATCCTGCCGACTTTCTGTTGTAATTTGTTTTATCTTGTTGGATGACTGTAGTGTGGCCTGTGTTTGTTAGATGCAGTCGTGGTGGTCACATTGCTTAGATGGTTTCAATTACACAAAAGGACACGACATGTTGGATGTCACCACAGAGATGGCGGGAGAGTAAGTGAAGACGACACCAGTCAAGGCAGGTCTGTCCAGGGGGGTCTGTCAATCATCGTGTCTCAAAGCGAACTGATCTGTTTTGAGCCAAAGGAGCCTAACTGGTAACCCGACATGTTTTTCAGACCTCTTTTCCTGTCTGGCGCCGGCTATCACTCAATAGAATTCTATTATGTCGTTTTGGTAATACATGATGGCCAAACAGGCCAGATGAATTTTGTCTTTAAAGATTTAGCCATTATACTATAGCTATATAACATATGGGAGTATGAATATATATTGGAATATATTACAATAGTTTATATATTTTTTTGGTGTTAGTTTTTGCTTTAAAACGATCTTTAAGGGGTATTCAATAACACCCAGATATGAAATCTTGTTGAGGAAGAATAAATCAACGACAGTTGTCAAGCTGACAAATGTCGCTGAACAGTTGACAAGTAGATTGTGTCAATCGAGAGACGTGACATCTGACATTGATTCAGAGTTTTGATTCTTTAGGGGTTTAGATTATCTCTGTTGTTTCCAGGTATTTGAATACGTCACAGATTGATTAGAGAAATTCTTACCTGACTCACTTCTCCAACATATTTGATATCTTCACTTTTAGGGGAACGGCCATCAGATATGATGGTTAGCTGCGAATAAGATCAGACAACTGGTCAAATAAGCAGTCGCGAACAAGCAGCGTCAGTGTTACCAGGGCGTGGTGGGGTATCAGGTGGCACTGGTACCTCTACAAAAAGCCACAAAAGCCCAAAGACGACACTGAGTCAAATGGCGAGTCCAGCCCGCCATGTAATCAACCAAAGGCTGTAGCCAACAACAACTACTCCAGCGTCTGCATCCATGTTAGGAACGGCTGATGAAGCGTCTGTCCTCCATGTTAGGAGCGGCTTCTTCCGAGGAAGGTGATGGCCGGCATGCGCCCTCGGGCTAGATCTTTTGATCGACAGATATCACCAACTGATAACCAAATATCCTTTAGGATATCCTGGTCTTTACAGCACTAATGAATCATACGCAATATATATATCTTCACTTATATATAGGTTAGCCGTTTGTTAGATTATTGTTTCTTATATCAAGTTTGTCTTTCTTTAATTTTACACTTGGCAAAATGATAAAAACAAGTGATTTCGCCATTAAAATTTGATTTCTATAAACGTAGAATACATGATTTGTACAATATTTACGAACGGAAAAATATGTCCAGCGTAATCTAATGGACATGACATCTGCTCGTTAAGCGGAACACTGTGGGTTCGATTCCCATCCCTGGACACTTTTATTTTTTCCGTTTATCATTACTCTTCACAATTCATCCTTTCATACTTCATAGTGCTTCACAGTAAGCAGAGTTTACAATAGAATATAGCAGATTTCTCCATGATCACAAGGTCAATCAGAGGTCATTACAAGGTCATCAACGTTAACAAACACACTCACCAAATTGTTCCTGCGGAGAAACTGAACAAACCACCTTATCTACGACTGTCCGAACTTTACAGAAGTGAGACATCGACTGTTCCCTGATCTAAATGATTTAACTGTCTTACATCAATAACTTTGTCTATAGAAATTTTATGAACTCTGTCGATTAATACATGTAAATCTGTAATTTTTTTAATCCTAAGTTTTATTTTGTTTGTTGTTTTGCTTATTTCCTTTGTAATAGGCGAAAATTCAATATCGCGTCTTGTTAATAATAAATAAATAAAAAAACTCAACATATGATGTCAACTTACTTTAAATTGGAAAACTTCCACGATTTTAAACTTTCAAACTTTAAAAACGGAAGGAATATTTAAAGACAGATGTCTTCTTACTCAATGTTCCTTTAAACCTTTTTGCTTTTAATTTAGCCTTTGTGTTATTTAGTGTTGAAAAATCTCTCCTACAGTACTGTTTTGTACTTATTGTACTGTATTGTCGTCTTATTGTATGGCTGTACTCTATACTGTCTATTTGACTTGAGTCTACACCCATTATCTGCAACCTTCTGTGCTATCAAAACTGTTGGAACTAAGTAGAGATCATACTGTGCTCTCTACAGTACTGTTTTGTACTTAATGTACCGTACTGTCGTCTTATTGTATGACTGTACTCTATACTGGTCTATTTGACTTGAGTCTACACCCATTATCTGTAACCTTCTGTGCTATCAATACAGTTGGGGCTGAGTTGAGATCGTACTGTACTCCTACAGTACTGTTTTGTACTTAATGTACCGTACTGTCGTCTTATTGTATGGCTGTACTCTATACTGCTCTATTTGAGTTGAGTCTACACCCATCATCTGCAACCTTCTGGGCTATCAATACAGTTGTGGCTGAGTATATATCGTACTGTGCTCCTACTGTACTGTTTTGTACTTAATGTACCGTATTGTCGTCTTATTGTAGTCTGTTGTGTATATTGTATCATATACATATTTCTCGTTTTGATGATATTATTTGCATTAAGGTGTAAATATAAGAAATCCAGGGATATCGTTCTTTTTTTAAACTTTTAATTCACAAATCTCTCTCTATATTTCGGCAATGGAAGCGCTTCAACAGGAGAGAGAGAAAACACTATATAATAAATAACCAATAGAACACGTGTTATAATATAATCATAAATACTATTTTACATAATGGTATACAAAAAAAAATGTAAGACAAATAATTTTCATATTTAATTCTTTAAAAACGGCAGTAATTTTTCCCTCTTTTTATTTATCTTTCAATAACATTAAATAGAGAATGAAATATATAGAAAATCTAGGATATAACTATAAACGATTGATTTCTTAATAAATTGTAGTTATTGTCATGAGTATTCTCTGTTTGGTGTTTTCACTGTGAAGAATTTCAGAAGGTATTTGTCTATTTTGTAAGAAAATAAAATTTACATATTTATCTTGAAGTGAAACAAGATCATCTATATATTGGCATCTCATTAGAAAGAATATTTAATAAATTGTAAAGCTGAGAGAAAACGGTAACTTTTTATATGAAATCATGGTTAAACCAATAGCTAGAAAACGAGATAAAAAGATCTACTTAAAAACTACATTTCGGAATCCTCTATCTAACAACTCAGTTGGAAATTCTTCAATGGACAAACACAACATTAGCAATTTCATGAAAGAAGTTGATATAAATAAAAGAGCAGAGATGCTATCTGATGAACAGACGATACTGGAACAAAAGAAGAGATTGAAGAATGGTTGGTATAAGAAGAGATTTCCCATTATTGGAGGAAGGATTGAAACATGTATATCTGAAGCTCTTGCAAGAGGAAAGCTTCTAAAAGAATGGAATGATATCGCTAAAAGAGTTGGCTTCGGAATAATTCCACAGAAAATCAGTATGCAAATAGGAAAGAAGCTGTCAAACAAGATTATAGAAGATATTTTAAAATATGATCTATTGAATCAAATGAAAAATCAACATAGGGGTCTGCATTATATATTGTCAAAGCAATTCCTTTCATTTTTCTCATTTATTATATTTTTTATAATTTACTATATATATATGTGGGGTAGCTCGTTCTATATCGCTAGTAAATATTTTTACTAGGGCGATGTACGGTGCAATCGTTCTTATGCACAATTAAAGGAAAAGATTCCTCTCTAGGTACCTATATATGACTTACAATGAAGAAAGAAATGGTTTTTATATTACAAATATATTGATTCTAATTAAAATTCGTATGCATTTAGGTTCTGTATGCAACCTTCTTCAAAATTAATAAAGATGTGGTGTCGTGGCGCGTTTGTGTACATCAAACTTCACTTATAATAAGTAATTTTCAAAATAAAAGTTATTTATATTTTTATTGATTCTTTTTTGCTTTTATATATGGATAGCTAACATTCCTTAAATTTCATATTCAATTAGCAATAAAAATTTTGTAATGTAAATTTGATATCGCTTTACTTATTAGACATGGCTAATGATATGATAATTTATTTAAGTAGCACACAACCTATTTACATATAACTACTATGATATATTTGCATTTCAAAAGAAATATGCAAATATTTTATAAATCTGTACGTAGAAAGTCGTATCATACTATTCACTTTTTACTCTTGTTACTCATTCGAATATCTGGATAAAATCTGTCTTGAGAATTATTCTCTGAACAAGTAAAAGAATATTAAAGTGAAATCATCAAACTTCCAGAGATAATATCCGATTTTCCTATCCTCTCAGCCTTAAAATAAACCTTAAAGACCTTAACTAAACGTATCCATAGCTATTTCTCACTTCAAATCTATAAAACAGAAGAGAGCATAAGAATATTTTTAATAATCTAAGGACTCTCAAATATCCAATATTATTTTAAGACATTTCTACAACCCTTCTGATTTTCGGAACAACCCAATTTGCAAATCAACATGCAGTATTCCTTATTTACCAATTTCTATTATAAAATAGCCCGGCATCTACAAATTAAATAACTAAAAAATAATCCTATTCCTGGAATTGAGACATTTCCTTTTGGTGGCCGATTTATGCAAAGCAAGAGCTCCAGCGCATCTGAACTGCGCATCCAGCACGAGCATTCTAGACTCAATATTCGGCGCGGCACGAGCTGATTTTCAGAATTTCCGTTTAATATTTTAGCAGTACGCCTATTTCTACTGTATCAATGCCTCGCCGAAAGATTCGTGCTCATTACGAACATATGTCAGAGTTTGTAACTGGTCGTGCCATTGGATTGAAAGAGGCTGGTTGTGTCGAAGTGATGCGGCAATTAGGCGATGTTGGCAAAAGTGGGTCAACAACGGAAGTATGCAACGTCAGGACGGCAGCGGTCGACCAAGGGCAACAACAGAACGGGAGGACAGAGCAATTGTCAGAATGGCTGTCGCAGCACCGGAATCCACGTTATCTACCATTCAAAGTGTGACCGGCACACAAGTGTCCAAAATGACCATCAACAGGCGACTGAGAGAGCTGAATCTAAGAGCTAGCCGACTTTTACGATGCCTACCCCTCACACCCGTAAACCGACAAGTCCGACTACAGTGGTGTCGGGAGCGATCAACTTGGAACTGCGCTGACTGGGGACGCATAGTCTTTAGTGACGAGTCCCGTTTCTTACTGTGTCCTTACGACCGTCGCAAACGTGTCTAGAGACGTCCTGGGCAGCGTGTGGATCCTGGCCTTACTGTCGAACACCACACAGGTCCACAACAGGGCGTTATGGACTGGGGTGCCATTTCATTTGATAGCAGGACCCCATTGATAGTCATTCCTGGCACCCTGACAGCACAACGGCACGTAGATGACATTCTACGGCCTGTTTTGTTGCCGTTCCTCTCACATGACCCCGGGCTTACTTTTCAACAAGATAATGCCCGGCCATACACGGCATGTGTTACTATGGATTGTCTTCAATCTTGCCGAACTCTTCCGTGGCCAGCACGGTCGCCTGATCACTCGCCCATCCCGGAATGTTAACTATTTAGCCCGACAGTTGGAGACAATTTGGCAAGAAATCCCGCAGCACACCATCCGGAATCTTTATCAGTTCATGACACGCCGGGTGGCAGCCTGCATCCAGGCCAGTGGGGGTCCAACGACATATTGACATTCTCAATTTGTGACGATCAAACTCAGAAATAAACAATTAATTGTTCTAATAACGAATAGATTCAAAAAGGATAAGTTTCTTTATTTTAAAAAATCATTCGAGCTTTCGGGCTCAAGCTGCCCTTCTACAGGAATATTAGATACAATTTCAAGTAATCATGTATTTACAGTTATATATATTTTATTTAAATGGTTCCTCGCTTTAGTTTTTAGTAGCTTTAGTAATTAATTGTTCTGAAATTTTAATAGTTTTTCCCCTATACATGCTCTTTACATACATCAATTTTTGTCCTAATCTGACAACTCCTTCTTGGTGCGTCGATTTCTTTTGTTATACAGTGAATTTTTTCATCGCCCTATGCTTTAATTCTCTCATTTATAATGTAATTCTAATATCCTAAAAGCTTATGTCCATAGTTTTCTTTAATTCAATTTTTAAGATTTCACCCTTCAGTGAAGCATATTTAAGCAGAATTGTTCAAGAAAGTATTAAAGATCTAAAAGCGGTCTGGTAGATTAAATTGGCGAAACCGCTGCGAGGGTTCACCACTGATGAACCAAGCCCTCTCAATATTTTCCATCGCAGTAAGGACAGTAGAAGTTTGTGTTTTCTGTAAAAGAAACATTCGTGCTTTAATGCTTTCATTTTCCATAGTATATTCCCCTGCTCTATATTATTTGTAAAAAAAATAGT